CCCGCTGGACAAACCGTGTGATGGTGGGTCCTTGTAGTTTTATGAACTGCAAATGAAACAGAAGCAAACATCATTGCTGTGAACCAAATTTACTGTGTATCTTCATTCCTTTTGCCGTTCATTTTCAATCCGTTTATTTTTCCTACTAGGAAGTTGGAATTTCCGAGGAGAAAGCGAACGCACCATTAGCTTTGTAAACAAAAACTAAACTATCAAGCTAACGTTAACTTAAACAGTTTATTTAGCTGCTGGAGCAGATTAAGATGCCTCATACTCAGATTGTTGTCGCTGGTTTCATCATCACTCAATAGTCCATCTCATTTAGTGAAGTGAAGCCAAACTTTAGAGCGCCTTCGCTTTCTTCGAGTCGGATTTTTGGAGTTCCGAGGAGCAAGCAAACGCACTATTAGCTGAATGGAAGCTAACACATCAAGCTAACGTTATCTTAAACATTTTATTTACCTACCGGAGCAGATTAAGATGATGATGCCTCACTTAGATCGTTGTTGCTGGTTTCATCATCACCCAGTTACCCATCACATTTAGTGAAGTGGACCAAAGCTTTAGCGTGCGTTCTTTCTACCATGCTGCTCTGTTTACACCCACAGTGATAAGATACGCTCTTGCGCCAGGCGTGCGGCACGATTATCGAAACAAGGCTTCGTTTCATGTTGTGTGAATCGGTGCTCAGTCGGTACTTTGGAATTTGGTCGGTGCCTTAAAAAGTATCGAATTCGGTACCCATCCCTAGTTCAGCGTGACTTTGATCAGCTCACCCCTCCGTTCTGCTACTGCTGGCTAGTGAGATGTGACGTTTATTCATGAGACGTGTTTTACAGGTTAAAATCAGCCTGACACCGATAATCAAATGCATAGACCGATATTTATAATTGCTCCTTGCTTTCTACAGTTTCCTGAAACAGAAACTAGCTGGAAATAAATATCGGTCCGGCTTTAATTATCAGACATTGTGCATCATTAAATGTTGGTGTGGAGCTGCGAGGCGTTTCATTTTATTTTTCAGGCAAACCATCGTTAATAAGTGAATCTGTTATTTTGAATCTGATTGATGTGTGTACCAGGGTATCCGCGGGTCCTTAAAAAGTCTTAAATTAGCTTTTCCAAATTTAAGACCCTAAAAATCCTTAAAAATGACAAATAATCCTTCAATACAGTTTCCAAAGGTCTTAAATTACCAAAAACCCAATAAAGATTATTTTATTTCTATAAAATTTTCGTGAATTTCTACTTAGTGTTCAGCATATTTTGTGTACGATGTTGGCGTAAGCGGAACCGTACACGTTCAGTTGGTTGTGAAAGGGGGCTATTTTTAGATGAGCACATTAGCTGGTGAAGCTAGTGGGAGCTTGCGCCATGGGGAAGTGCAAGTTTAATGGTAACTGGATTGCTAATCCCACGTTCGCGACGTGGTTAGCACCGGTTCCAGGCTATAGCTGGAAATTATAGCTTAAATTTAATTTTAAAAATAGCTTAAATTTTTGTCAAAGTTGCCTTAAAAAGGGTCTCAAATTTGACTCCCTTAAACCTGCAGATACCCTGGTTTCCCTTCTGTTCATTTATTCATAACAGTCTTCTCTGTAATTTGGTTTTAGTCAAACTTCTCTGACTCGGTCTGTTGCGTGTCTCAGTGGGTGCTGGTGGAGCTCGGCTGGCCTTTGTGTGTGACTGCTGAGCCCGCATCACGTTTGCATATTGTGCATCTCTGTGTGCGTCTCTGCACAGCTCTGTGTGGTTCGAATGCTTCATAATGTTCAGTAAGTCTGAATATAAAAAACTTCAGCAGGAGCAAACTCTGAGTACACAGAGCGGACAGGAAGTGGAGCTCTGTGGGCGTGGGATGGAGGGTTTAGAGGTGAAGAGAGTGGCACTTGTTGCAACCTTTTCTAAAATAAAACGTCCTGCTGGTGTTGAATAACTCTAGACTCGGTAACAGTGGATCAGCGGCCACGCGAGGGCTTC